GAATCGCTTCTCTATTTTATTCTTAGAATGACCGTTGTCGTGAGAACTTTCAGTCAGGGTCAAGCTCGAAATATAAAATATAAATAGACTACATCAGAAATTTGTTCATCTTCTGAATGCGATTGTTCGAGAAAGGGATAAAAAATTTAAAAGATTTTTTATTTGAAAAATAATAAAGACAAGTGTTTAAAAATATTTTCTGTTATTACTTAAAAAGTGATTGTATTTGACACAATTACATTAACTTCGAAAAATTGATATTAGCTTCAAAAAATATTTAAATTGATAATATGTGATATAGAGAAAAAATAAAATATTGACGATTAACATCGACGAATTTTCATATTTATATTATTATTTAATAATTATTTTATTTGTTTTATTATTCTTCTATGTTCTTAAAAAAACTAACAATTACAAAAGAATGGCAAAAAACTATAATAATAATAATATAATTTATGTGTTTCAATAAGATATCATTTAATTCAGGTATCGAATATATATCATTTATTCAGGTATTGATATCCGACTGTAACTCTCCCTTCATCGATAAAAAAGGATATGCCATTTTTTAAAACAAAACTCCCATTTTTCTTTCAAATCTCGATAAACGAATTTTCACAAAATTCACAAATTTATCAAAATTATCAAATTTAAATATTTATTCTTAAGAAATTTCATCACTTTTCAGTTTTGTCTTATTCAATCGATATTTTTTTATTTGGAAAAGCGATGTTTTATTTCAAGCATTCATCAGAACGAACACTAACTAAGTTCATATGAGAACAACTAACGACGCAGAAAGTGTTATAAACAAATGGAAACAAAAGCTTTGTACTTCCCTGACAAAAGCTTCATCGTTCAAACAGACAACGATTTGATTGACAAAATTATTTATTTTAGAAAAGAAGCGACTCAGTTAAGTTCAAAGGAATTAACAGATACACAATTCACACGAACAAATCTACGAATCTCTGTACATTGTAAGCTCAATTGAAAACACTGAATAATGCTAAATAGCAAGAGAGGTGATAAATGGCGCGTCCATTTGCGAAAATGAGTGTAGGAGTATTTGGCGATTATTTCAAAGATGACTGTTCATTTTGATTGATATTTTTTTCTTTTAAATATTTTCACATAATGCCTCTTTTATGAACTAAATTCGACAAAATATAAATCAAATAAATCTTACAGTAATTTTAAGACGTATTATTAGAGTTTAAAATTGATGAAATTTTATAAATCGTAATTTACAAGATATGGGTATTTTATACAGTTATAAAGTATAAATGTTATAAAGTAAACCAATTTTTACGAGTAAACTTTATACAAATTATAAGTTAATTGATTATTTGACAAAGTAATTACAAAATAATAAATAAAAAATAATAAAGTAATACAATTAGAAATTTTGCAGTTGTAAATTTTATGATATTGGTTAATATTAAATATATGAATAGGCAAAGAAAATGGAATTTATCATAAGGTATTGACAAACTGACAAAAAAGTAGAAATGGAGCGCATATGGTCAGACACTCGTGTCCAATCCTTTCATTGTAATTGATGAATTTAGAGGAGAATGATATTGAAAGAGAAACTTTCTTACTATTACAAGTTATTTATAATTTTTTGAAACTAATTTGAATAAAAAAAATATTATAAATGATTATAAATGCTAATTAAATTACATTAATTTGATATAAAAATGCACACAATATTTCTTTATATTCTTGAAATTTTATAAGTATACTGCTATATTTTTTTAATTATTAAAAACTTGTATTGAATTTTTTATTAATCTTTTTATTTAATGCTACGATGCTATCAATAGTAATTTTAATTATTTGGATTTTACACGAAAAAAATTTATTTTTTTGTCTTTATTTAAATTTTTGGAATGCATAGTGATTTCATAAATTGATCTAGTTATTATGTACAAGAAAATAATGTACATAGCACATTATTTCAAATCGACAAAGAGTGGAAATAGATGTTAATCAGAATTAGATGTAGAATTGGCGCCGAATGCTTCTCTAGTACTCCTACCATTGAAAACTATTCACTATAGAACTATAGAACTCGAAGCTATTGACATCAAAATCATATCTCCATGATATTATCACGTGAAATCAGAGAATTCACATTTCTCTTTAAGAAATAAAGCCTGTTACGATGGTATGAGAAGCAATGACAATGGAAGCAAAATGATAAGATTTATTATTAATGCAGGATCTTCAAGTTCATTATTTCACTTAAGAATTTGAAGTTGTTTGAAATTAACTTCGTGCAGATAATATTCTGTGTGTGACTATTATAATGAGATAATATATTCATTATATTCATTATAATATTATATTACTATATTTACTATATTTATATATTATTATATTTATTATAATTTATTATATTTATTATTATAGTATTATATTATAATTATAAAGAATTAAATTTTTATAAGTAATTATAAGTTATACGAATATAAATTTATACTAATAAAAAATTTTATTCTGCATTTTGATTCGATTGTTTTATTTCAAAATACAGTTGTTAAGAAACAATTTCAACTTTATAGTACATTTACGATAAAATTAATATCTGAATATAATTCTTCGATTTTATATTGTTCATATATTTTATTTTCGTGTTTATTATTAAAATATTTAAATTATTTTTGATAGAATATATTTATTAGAAATTATAAAAAAAATAATTTATAAATATTTATAATATAATGAATAAATACGTTACATATTTTATATGAAAACAAATCGAAAATTACTAAATTTGTTATTAAAATATAAATAAAATTTTTTAGAATGCTTTCTCTAATATTTTTTTTGTAATATATATTTTGCTAATCAAATTCATTTATAAATATATGCCGATCATTATACATATACATAAATATAATGTATATATATAATTAATGTCGATTAAATAATATGAATTCTCGATAAATCATAATATCATGTGAGAATTTCATCACCTCGAAAGAATAATTTGATTATTATTCATTTCAGTAAAGGTTTCATACTTCTTATTAATTTAACGATTTTAAATTTTAAATTTAAAACATTTTAAATTTAACAACGATTAATAAAATTTATACAACGAATTTTCCTTTGAATTATGCCTTTTTCAGAATTTTTATGCAATTGTAATGTAACCTAGTTTCATATTTCGCGGAAGATTTTCTGGAAATTAGATTAACAATGATTGAACAGTTTTTGCAATAGGAATAATTTAATTGTATCTAATAAGAATTCTGAATTAAAATCAAATTAAAAAAGTTTCAGAAATTTATCTTTTTAAATTTCGAAAATTGTAACTATCTAATCTAATCTAGAAACAAAAAATTTATAAAATAATCATGATGAAAATTTCTCTTAAACATGTTCTGAATAATTTTCCAAAAAATATTATATATCTTTATATTTTTCTATATATATTTTAATTATATAGTTAATAAAGTCTTAATAAATAATTAATTTTTAATTAAAAAATATAATGAAGGCGTTTTATAATAATAATTATAATAATAATAATTTATAATAATAAATTTTATAATAATATTTTTCAAAGAAGATTTGATATAGATTAATTCGACCATATTTATGTAACAATATTCCATTCATTTTCTATTATGTTTTCTAAATGTTTATGAATTAATAGGTTTGTAAAATTATCAGACACGTGAATTGAATATTCGTAATACACATTCCCATTGAATCCAGTAACAAATCTCTGTTATCTTTTATTATAAATTATAAATGACTTTTTGAAAATTCAATTTAGATAACGGTGATAGAAATCTCATTTAAAATTGACAAGCATAAATATTCTTTCATAACAACTACGTTATTATGAAATTTTCAATTTCCAGATAATTTTTGATTATTAAAAATTTTAATATTTTAAATTTCAGTATAAGAAATTTGCTCAATGTTCTTTGTATTAGATATTATTATAAAAACAAAAATTTATTTTATATTATCAATTTATTTTTACGTTACATTTTTACGTTAAATTATACCTCTTAAGAATCTATTATCAAAAATTTAAACATTTCAATAAGAAATTTGTTCAGTAAATATTTTCTGTAATAAATGTTACAAAAAATTTATATATAGTTTCAATTTATTTTTACGACAAATTATTTCTTTCTCGAAACCGTCTTATAAAATAATTTTTATTAAAATCATTATTTATAGAATAATCGAATTTTATACAATAATTTTTTATTAATAATTTCATATGTTCTTTTTATTTGATGCCATAGTTTCGATAAAGCATTCATGTGATAATTTTCATCAACTTCTATCGATTTTTCCGCATTGATCGCTAAAATAATTGATCGATAAAAAATTAAAAAAATCGTTTAACAAGTATAAATTTCATGTATGTTCATTTTAAAAACAAAAAAATAATGCAATAATTATATTTGATAAATAAAGCAATAATTAAATTTATTAAAATCTAATGAAACAATTTTCCATGAATAGATCAATTTTCATGATTTTGAATTCACAATTAATATATTAATATCTTGTCATATTGCTCAAATCTTGAACAACTTCAATTGACGTCTCTTTATCTATCTATGAATATTTAATGCGATGTTTTTACTCGTTAAATTACGTGCCGAGATTATTTCTTGTGAATGTATATAAAATTGAACTAAAATTGTAAGGATGGATGGGCACTATTAATAATATTTATACAAATGAATGCAACAACTATTTAATTGCTTTGTAATATATTAAAATATTCTTTAAAAATATAAAATTTATTTTTTTACAAAAATAAGGTATAATATTTCATATAAATTTAATTAAACATTAGAAAAATTTCTTTCCAACAAAATATACTTTTATATCCCACATAAATCATAATTATATTACTCCCTAATAAATTATTACTCTGTATATTATTAACTACACTTTTACTTAATTATTTTCGTTTAGCCATTTTGTAAATCTTTGCACATTTTTAAATATCAAATAGATCTGCTGTTTTTATCTTATAACTTAAGCAGAGGTATATCTTTAAGCGATAAGTTCAATATATTTTCTAATCCTAATGAGCGTTTCAAACCTCCAATCAAACCAAATATCCCTTTGACATTTTTCAATTCTTTGCCGTTCAAATCGAATTCTTCTCCATTTTTCGCATTCAAAATAGTTCGAATATCGACTCCTCCTTTTAATAATTCAATAGCTTTTGGGACAGAACTTGTGAGAATATTCAAGTCTAAATTTTCTCCGTTATAATCATCAGAATCCAAGAGATTAAGATCTATATCCTTCTTTTTTATCTCACTGATTAAAGGAATCAACGACTCAATTTGATCCGTATTCAAAAGTCCTAGAAGACCTTTTTCTGACGTTAAACCATTTAAGAGGCCACTTAAGCCGCCAAATAAGCCACCAACTTTATCTTTATCTAAACCTTTCTTCGAATCTAGATCAATTGGATTTTTTTTCCAACCTAATCCTTTATTCTGTTTTACGTCTTTATCATCCTCAACTTTCACAGTCTTCTTTCGTGATCCACAAGTTTTAAGTATGCTTTTTGAGACTCTTTCCAAATCTACAAGTACCTTACCATTCTTCTCTAAATCTATAGCATCACGGTCAGTTTTTCTTTCCTTTATTAATTTTAAAAGTTCAACGACACTCGTATCAAGTTCTTCCAAGGAACGAATGTCTTCGCTGCCTTTCTCGAATTGCCAAGTATCAAGCTTTTTGCCCTCCTTCAACGATTTAAGAGCGATATTTAACTTGTCCGTAACATCTTCCAAACCCAACAGACCTTTACCACTTTTTTCTTCTAAAAGAGGACTGATATCTTTCTCTTCTTTGAGCCATGATGAAAGTTTGGTAATCTTTTTCCTGACCACGACCAGATTCAGACTCTTGGATCTTTCTTCCTCTTTTAAGATCTCTTCGCGTTTTTCTAATCAATAAATTCATCCATTTGTCGATTAAGATTTATTTTTATAATATGTATCTTTCAAATTTAAAATGTTTTTTACCACTTAATTCTTAAAATTAGAAACCTAATTTTCAATTTTGCGAAATTCTTGCGAAATATATTTTTTGTTAAGAATTAAATTAAATATATTTTGTTAAGAATTCTTTAAGTTTCAAAAAAAAAAAAAAAATCACAATTTCGAGTATGCAGTTAAAATCCAAATTTAATTTATGAAATATTTTTAAGAATTATTCATAAGAATTTTATAATAAAAATATTTACAATATCAAAAAAGCTTAACTTATTATTATTATTATTTTTTAGATACTATCTTCTATCTTATAGTTTGACAATATATCAGTTTCATAATTTTTAAATTTAATTGGTTTGAATCTTGAATCTCACGAATCTTACCTTCACGAATCTTCAAACGTTGACTTTTTGATTCTGAATCACGTTCTTCTTTAATATCATTTAAACTCTTTGACTTATAAGATGCTTCGTCCTTTAAACCAACGTCCTTTTTTAATTCTGTGCCTGCGTCTGAGTATACGCCTGCGTACACAATATGTGCACAGATGAATATAGATAGCAACAAAAGCGTGTATTTCATGTTTCACTGTCTTTTTTTCAAACTGATGCAGTACGACAACGAATTTTTTGCTTTTATACTTGAATGAAAATTAAAAAAATTTTATTTCTGTTTATTTTCTTTTCGCGATATAACATATGTCGATTTCCAAGATGACGATAATAATAAGTACATATTAACATTCATCGTGAATAAATAATTTATGCATTTTATTGAAAGAAAGAACGTGTTTGTACAACATATTAAACTTTTGATCTGGCATATTCAAATTATACATCTTTTTTTATTCTTACAAATATTTTGGTAATTAATGCTCTTTATCTTTTCATAATAAAATACTAAATCGTGTGTAATAAATGTTCATTCATTTGGAATTTAACCAGATGAAATTAAAACAGATAATAGATAATGTTTTTTTAAATTTAAATTCTTTAAATAATTATTATTTCTTTCTGTGCAAAGATTACAAAAAATTTTTAAGGATTATAAATTTATTATTCAAATTATAATATTACGTTAAATACTTATAATTAAGAAAAATTTATTTTAAATATCACATGCTTGTACTATTTAATTATCATTACAGAGTGATCAATAAGATCAATATAATACATAAACATATTTCTGAAAAGTCAAAAAATTCCAACATCCTTGGTCTCATATTTATCTCTTATTTTTCATTATTCTTCGATAAAGTATTTATTAAAGTTTAACAGATGCTATGATACGTTGTGTATTTTTCAATCATAATATATATTCAGTTGTTGGAAATAACCAAAACGTAATAACCGAAACAAGACACATATGTTTAAAAAAATTTATTTTAATTTTCTATTACTATAGCATATATTATTTTAATGAAATATTAATTTCAAATATTAATTTTCATTAAAATTATTTCTACAGATAAATTTTTAAAAAAATTCACTCAGAATGATCAACAACAAGAAAATATTCGATAATTATATTTTCTAATTATTTTTATGTTGTTTTACACATTAAAATTCTTTATCTTCTACACAGGTAATATGAATATAAAATTTTAAGCTGCTGGCGTTTTATCATGCGAATTAAATGTAAAGGGTTAATGAAGTACCATTTTCCTCTATACAATAAAATACCCACATACAAGTTTCTACTAGTATTAAAATGCATAAAGTTTAGATCGTTAAAATCATATATTCACTTTTTGCTCACATTTTCTACTGTTTATGAAGTATCTGATGTTGAAATTATTTTGAAAATACAATAATATTATTCAATAAATTCAATTTAATATTATATATATTATCATAATTATTATATTATGATATCTCTGTGCAGAATAATTTTGTAAAAATCATAATTATAGTTTCTTGAAAATTTCTAATAAATTTTATTTAATATTTTACAAGATATGTATAAAGTGAATGAAATAATAAAATTTATAATAAATAAAAAATATTTTCATTTTTATAACTTCTTTAAAATATTATATTTTAAATATTATATTTGAACATAATTTTAAATATCTTACAATATTTGTTACATTCCTGAGCCATTTATATATATATTTCCAAAATTTCCTCTTTCATTTAAAATTGTTTTCTAAAATCTGAAAAAAGATTTTTAGTAGAATACGATAGAATAAAAGAAAATTAATATAAAAAACTTTTAATAAAATATTGTTTAATCATATTGATATTCAAAAATTCGAACGATTTTGTAATTATAAACTAATTCCCGTTTCCGGGCATTCAAATTATCAGGAACTAACTTTCAAGAGCAATTTATATTCTACTATATTACCCCAAGTATCAATCTTGTAATTAAACTATTGGATAATTTGCTCTATTTAGTTTAGAAAACATTGTTATTCGAAAATGGATGAACTAAAGATAATTATAATTTATTCATTGAAAAATAATAATAGAATATAAAATTAATATAATTATTTTTATCATTTTTCTGTTTTATTATTATATTTTTTACTATTTATTAATTTTATTATTATATTTATTATTTTATATTAACTGAATTATTACTATCATATATAAAGTATTAAATATTTATATCGTTCTAATATATTCTCTTATACTAAATAAATAATCCATACTAAATAAATAAATAAATATTTAATAATTGTTAAAAAAAAAAATATATGTCAATGAACTTAAATGCAATCTGGTATCCATGGATATTAAAATGAATAATATTCAGAAACCACTATAAATTTCTAATTAAAATGGCCGCAAGCAGCAACTAATTTTTCATGAAATTAATCTCTGAGATTATACAGCAGTAATAACATTTCAAGCAGTGTAATCAACAAATTGAAACGACTGTCGGTTTAAAATGAAATTTCTAATCGAATTTATTAATGTACCCCTTTACATACATATATATATATACATATGTACAAACTTTACAACATTTTGATATTACTGTGCCTAATTTTACTGTTATTTCACTGATTCATGTTTCTTCTGCTTTTGATAAATCTCACGTGTATTTTATTGAAAAAAAATTAGTTTTAAACTATTTCATCTTTTTATAGCAATAGAGCTACTTTCTTAACGAAATTTATATATTCTTCTTTCATTTATATTTATCTATATCTGGCATATTCCTCATTTGCCTTTGGAATATTTTTCTTCAAGGATGATTCAAAGCTATTTTTCTTGTCATAATCTCTCTCAAAACTTTCACGTCTTTTTTTATCTTTAGTAAGAACAACATAATAACAAGTTGTTTTTTCTGGCCGTTTGCCAACCCTTTTGAAATCCTCTTCTTCTTCATCCTCTGGCTTGTATGGCTTCTCTTCTGGATATTCTAGCGTCCAGGTTCTAGTGCCACCCACATGGTAATTGGTTAAAGGTTCTGTCGGCCATTCTGGTCCAGGTGGATGTCTGGTTTTTTCTTCTATAAAAAATTAAATAATTTTTTTTAATCTAACTTTGTTTTGATATATTTTTATTGGTATAATTAATTTTTTGCGTATCTAATATCTGATATTATCGTGATAATATCGTGATAAATGATAGAATATGATTCTTCTTCTTTGATCAAAAATTAATTAATTTTTTAAAATAATTTTACGTAGTCTAAAATTTATCTATATAATGATTGAAATGTAAATATATTAATGTAATTAATTCTATTATCAACATTAACAATATTATATGATATTGTAATATTTTAAAAATAAAAATTCTACCTTCAGTTGTTGTTTCTTCTTCTTCTTCTTCATCTTCGTGAATTTTCTTGGGTGGTTTTTCTTCTTCTGGTGTATATATCATTGGTGTTTCAATTACTTCTTCCTCTGGTACCGTAGTTTCTTCTATTTCTTCATCCTCTTTATATTTAGGTTCATCTTCTTTATATTCTTCTTCTTCTTCTTCTTCTTTATATTCTTCTTCTTCTTCTTCTTTATATTCTTCTTCTCCTTCTTCTTCTTCTTTATATTCTTCTCCTTCTTCTTCTTTATATTCTTCTTCTCCTTCTTCTTTATATTCATCACTTTCTTCGCTTTCATATTCATCATTACCTTGATTTTCCCATGGTTCAGTAGCCTCTTCTTGTCTCAGATTTCTTTCAATTTGATTCTCATAATCATAAATTCCATTATTCCGTTCGTCTTGCTTCACTATTATCTCATCATTATCTCTCTCATCATTTTCTACTTCTTCATCTTCAATAATTTGCAACATCGATCGAACTTTATACCTATTATTATCAATTTTCCAATTCATTTTTCCTGTAGATTTGATTCTCGATGCTTCAGTAATCGTTAAACTCTTTGTCAACTGAAAATTACAATTTGCATATTTACAAAATGGTTCATCAATTAATAAATGACTTGTCGTCATTTTATAACCGGTAACATTATACAATTGGTAATTAGGGCAAACTGCATTTTTCTCGTTAATGTTTCGCTTAAATCGATTCTGCTTGATCGATCTTTTATTTTCATTCTCGTTTTTCTCGATTTCCGTCTGCGGTGTCACATAATCGGTAAACGGACCTTCCGTCCACTCGTGCTCCTTAAGACGCAACGCAAAAAGTTTTGTTTTTTCTTCTTCGTCTTGGCTTGGTGTTTGGGTCGTTTTCGTCTTATCATCGGTAATCTTGTACAGTGGATAATCAGGATAAACAGTTTTTTCTTCGTCAATATCTGGTGTAAATCGTTCACGCTCTATTACTTCTTCATGATCAACCTCCTCGATTTCGGTCTGCGGTGTTACATAATTCGTTATAAATGGACCTTCGGTCCACTCGTGCTCCTTGAGATGCAATACGACAATTTTTGTCTTTTCATCTTTATCCTTATTTCGAACGTATCGTATTCGTCTCGTCGTCATCTTACAACGATTAGTAAAATTGTACAATTGATAATTGAGGCAAACAGCATTTTTCTCGCCGATATTTCGCTTAATTCGATTCTGCTCGATTGATTCTTTATTTTCATTCTCGTATTCCTCGGTCTCCGTCTGTGGTGTCACATAATCCGTTATAAATGGACCTTCTGTCCACTCGTGTTCCTCAAGATGCAACGTCGCAATTTTCGTTTTTCCCTCTTCTTCCTTACTTAGAACATATGGTACGCAAACTCGTTCGGTTACCATGCCTTTACCCACAACTTTTGATCTTAAAACAGTTACACATTTCTTCGTTGTCACAAATCTTTTCGGCGTCAATCTTTCCACTGTTTCTTCAGTTACTGTTTCTTTGGTCACTGTTTCTTCTTCTATTTCTTTCTCTTTTTCAGTGATAGTAGTTCTTATAGTAGTGTCTTTTTTAGGTGTAATAGTTGGTTCTCTAATATCGATCGTTGTCCTTTCCGTAGGTGGAAGTGGCGAGAAAGGTGGCGTCGTACGCAAACAACAATCTCGTATTGTTTCTGTTGGTTCAGAAGTTTTAGGTGGCCATGATATTTCTTCTCCTTTCTTCAACATCTCTTCCATTTCTCTTACTAACTTTTCAAAATCTTCCTGATCTTTCTTGAATCTTTTCTCTCTTTCCATTAATCTCCTTTCTAACTCCTTTAACCATTTTTCTCTCTCCCAAAATTCTATCTCTAACATTCTAAGCCTTTTCTCAAACGCATCGGTCGTCAAAAAGGGAGAAAGAGTTATCATTTTTATTTTGGGTCTTGTCGTATCGATAGCAATTGCAGGCTCACCGATGGTCGTTTGTGTTATTTCGTGTAAAGCTTCTATTGCTTTAGTAGCAACATAAGCCTTCATCATCTTTTGTCTCTGTAATAGATCACTTATTATTTTCGCTTTACGGTTCTGCCATTCTTCTTCTTCTTTATCTAACTCTATCTCTTCTTTTTCAATATCTTTCATCTTCTCGTCCATTTCCTTCAGTTTTCTTTCCAATTGTTCCATCAATTCAAGATTGCGGGTATGCTTTTGACTTTCATCTGTGGTGCGTGTAAATTCAACTGTGGTTGGCATGGGAGTGATTTTTTCCGGAGTAATTACAGTCAAAGTAGTTAATGTTATAGTTGGTGTAATTAACGGTACAGTCGGAGTAGTTAATGTTGGAGTAGTTAATGTTGGAGTAGTTAATGTTATAATCGGAGTAGTTAACGTTATAATCGGAGTAATTAACGTTATAGTCGGAGTAGTTAATGTTATAGTCGGAGTAGTTAATGTTATAGTCGGAGTAGTTAATGTTATAGTCGGAGTAGTTAATGTTATAGTCGGAGTTATAATTAAAGGAGTTATAATTATAATTGGTTTTGTGGTAGGTGGAGGTATAAAAGGAGTAAAAACTATATCAGTAATATTATCTTCATATTCGAATGGCAAGGATTCCGTAGTGAATTCCAAAGTAGGTGCTAAAGTATATGTAAATGTTGTAAATAACGGTGGAGTAGAAACGATTTCAGGAATCGGTATAAAAGGCGTCGTTATATTAACATCTACTTTAGGTATTGTTACTTCTACTTTAATAACTTCTTTCGTGGTGGTTTCGATTGGTGGTGTCGGTGTGGTGATTATAGATTCAGTAGTGGTTTCTATGGTAATAACAGGATATTTCGTTGTAGTCTCTGTTGTTTCTTCTACGTATTCTTCCCAAACTGGGCTGACTGTTTCTTCCTCTTCATATTCTTCATATATTTCATACATTGTTTCTGTTACTTCAGTTGTGGTTTCTGGAGTGACAGTTGTAGTAACTGTTTCGATTACAGGATACGGAGTGGTAATTTCCCAAGGCATTATCGTTGGTGTAGTAGTTATAACAGGATATTCTACTGTAGTAACTACTAATTCAGTAGTAGTTTCTATGGTTTCGGTAGTAATGAACGGAGTTACGGTAGTCACATTTATAAGTTCGATGATGGGGGTGGTGATTTCTACTAAAACAGAAGAAGTTGTTTCAGTTGTTATGAAAACTGTTGGATATACAATTGTAATCTCTGGTGTTTCTGTAGGTGTTGGAGTTTCTATTGTTATATTCGTAACTTCAATAATATGTAATGTAGTTTCAGTTGTTTTAGTTGTCACAATAAATGGAGTAGTTTCTATCGTAACAACTGGATATTTCATTGTAGTCTCTGTTGTTTCTATCGTGATAAATGGAGTTTCTATAGTTATATTTGTAACTTCAATAATATGTAACGTAGTTTCCGTTGTTTCATTTGTTACAATAAATGGCGTAGTTTCTGTTGTAATAACTGGATATTTTATTGTAGTCACTGTTGTTTCTGTTGTAATAAGTGGAGTTTCTATTGTTATATTCGTAACTTCAATAACATGGAATGTAGTTTCCGTTGTTTCAGTTGTTATAATTACAAACTCAGTAGTGGATTCTGTAGTTTCAGTAGTAATAGTTTCTGTTGTTTCGGTAGTTGTATTTATAACTTCAATAATAGGTGTAGTAAGTTCCATGATGACAGAAAAAGTTGTTTCAGTAATTTCTGTTGTTACAATTACAGACTCAGTAGTGGTTTCTATTGTTTCAGTAGTAATCAAAGGTCGTTCGGTAGTCACATTTATAATTTCAATAGGAGATGTGCTAATTTCCACGATGACAGAAAAAGTAGTTTCGGTTGTTACAATAAATGGCGTAGTTTCTGTTGTAATATCTGGATATTTTGTTGTAGTTTCTGTTGTTTCTGTTGTGATAAATGGAGTTTCAATAGTTATATTCGTAACTTCAATAACATGGAATGTAGTTTCCGTTGTTTCAGTTGTTATAATTACAAATTCAGTTGTGGGTTCTGTAGTTTCAGTAGTAATAGTTTCTGTTGTTTCGGTAGTTGTATTTATAACTTCAATAATAGGTGTAGTAAGTTCCATGATGACAGAAAAAGTTGTTTCAGTAATTTCTGTTGTTACAATAACAGACTCAGTGGTGGTCTCTATAGTTTCAGTAGTAATCAAAGGTCGTTCGGTAGTCACATTTATAATTTCAATAGGAGATGTGCTAATTTCCATGATGACAGAAAAAGTGGTTTCAGTTGTTATAACAAATGGAGTAGTTTCAGTTGTAACAATAGGATACGTTGTAATCTCAGGTGTTTCTACCGTGACAATAGGCATTTCTGTTGTTACATTCACAATTTCGATAATATGAAATGTAGTTTCCGTTATTTCAGTTACAATAATTGGTATTGTTTCAGTTGTAAATGTTGGAGAAATAAAAACGGGTGTAATTTCAACTGTGGCTTCTGTAGTAATAAAGGGTGTTTCCGTAGTTGTATTTATAATTTCTATTATTGGTATAGTTACTGTAATAGGAATTGTTTCTGTAGTTTCCGTGGTTACCGTTGTTTCAGTCGTTTCAGTTGTTATAGTTGTTATAGGAGTGATAACTATGGTGGTTTCTGTAGTCTCAGTCGTCGTTTCCGTTGTTAATGTAGTGATAAAAGGTGTTTCCGTCGTAGTATTTATAACTTCGATTACTGGTGTAGTTATTGTAGTAGTAGTAACAGGAATTGTTTCGATGACAGAAAAAGTAGTTTCGGTTGTTACAATAAATGGCGTAGTTTCTGTTGTAATATCTGGATATTTTGTTGTAGTTTCTGTTGTTTCTGTTGTGATAAATGGAGTTTCAATAGTTATATTCGTAACTTCAATAACATGGAATGTAGTTTCCGTTGTTTCAGTTGTTATAATTACAAATTCAGTTGTGGGTTCTGTAGTTTCAGTAGTAATAGTTTCTGTTGTTTCGGTAGTTGTATTTATAACTTCAATAATAGGTGTAGTAAGTTCCATGATGACAGAAAAAGTTGTTTCAGTAATTTCTGTTGTTACAATAACAGACTCAGTGGTGGTCTCTATAGTTTCAGTAGTAATCAAAGGTCGTTCGGTAGTCACATTTATAATTTCAATAGGAGATGTGCTAATTTCCATGATGACAGAAAAAGTGGTTTCAGTTGTTATAACAAATGGAGTAGTTTCAGTTGTAACAATAGGATACGTTGTAATCTCAGGTGTTTCTACCGTGACAATAGGCATTTCTGTTGTTACATTCACAATTTCGATAATATGAAATGTAGTTTCCGTTATTTCAGTTACAATAATTGGTATTGTTTCAGTTGTAAATGTTGGAGAAATAAAAACGGGTGTAATTTCAACTGTGGCTTCTGTAGTAATAAAGGGTGTTTCCGTAGTTGTATTTATAATTTCTATTATTGGTATAGTTACTGTAATAGGAATTGTTTCTGTAGTTTCCGTGGTTACCGTTGTTTCAGTCGTTTCAGTTGTTATAGTTGTTATAGGAGTGATAACTATGGTGGTTTCTGTAGTCTCAGTCGTCGTTTCCGTTGTTAATGTAGTGATAAAAGGTGTTCCGTCGTAGTATTTATAACTTCGATTACTGGTGTAGTTATTGTAGTAGTAGTAACAGGAATTGTTTCTGTAGTTCCGGGGTTCCGTTGTTTCAGTTGTTTCCGTTGTTACAGTTGTTAGAGGAGTGATAACTATGGTGGTTTCTGTAGTTTCAGTTGTGGATTCTGTTGTTAA